TGAGAATTGGATTTATGTAGTCAGTGGCAGCTCGTGGGAGGAAAATGCTTTCAATACGGCTGCTTCTTACCCAGCACAGGGGTGGGAAACCACGGGCTCTTGAATCAGGCTGTCAGGTTTTAATCCAAGTGCCACCATTCGCTATCTGTGTGAGTTGATACATAACATCTTTGAGCCTCAGTTTTCTTACCTCTAAAATGCTGTTGGGAGAATTAAATGTGTTCGTAAGAATAACGTGCTTTATAAAGTATAAAGTATGGTGGGCACTAAATGATATTATCATACCTGATGCCACCCAGCACACATAGTAACTAATCACAGGTACTGCTTGTCAAACTTCTACTGTGTGCTGTGCACTGAGCTAAGAGCATATGTATGATACCATATTTAATCTATATAACAAGACTTCAAAGTACATATCCTTGTTTTCAAAATCCGGTTTCATAGAGATCAAGTGACCTGGCCACGGTCACAGAGCTGGTGGGAGAGTCAGGACTTGGACCTGGGACTAGTCTAAGTTTCTCATGAGTTCATTTATTTATCCAACACGTATCTACTAAGTGCCTACTACCCTGAGCCACCGCACAACACTGCGTTCCTCGGTGACCCGTGATTACCTTTCAGTGAGAACTCAAAGCTCAGAATGTCGGGTCTTGGATTACAAAGAAGCTTTCCTGTAGTACGGTAGGTCCCCCCTTATCCGCGGTTTTGCTTTCCACAGTTTGTTACTCATGGTCAACCACAGTCCAAAAATATGAAATGGAAAATTCCAGAAGTAAACAAGTCATGCTTTAAATTGCGTGCTGTTCTGAGTAGCATCATGAAATCTGGCACCTTCCTGATCCTTCCCGTCTGGATGTGAATCACCCCTCTGTCCAGCATCTCTAAGCCATACACACTCCCTGCCCCTCAGTCACTTAGAGCCATGTCAGCTATCAGATCAACTGTGGAGGCATCGCACTACTTGTGTTCAGGTGACCCACATTTTACTTAATAATGGCTCCAAAGCCATTCACGTACTTTTACTACAGTATATCGTTATAATTGTGCTACTTATTGTTAGTTATTATTGTTAGTCTCTTATTGTGCCTTATTTATAAACAACATTTTACCACAGTTACGTATGAATAGGAAAAAATATTATGCAGGGTTCAGTATTATCCACAGTTTCAGACAGCACTGGGGGTCTCGAGATGTATCTTATCGGTCGTGTAATTAAAGCACCACCTACGTTCACAATAATACTTACACTTCGCTTTGTTCCTAAACATTCATACATGTTATTCGCTTTCCCTAGCAAACAAGAGAGATGAGGCTTTGGTTCCTTGTTACAGAGAGCCGCCCCCTTTGGTGGTGGGAAGGCGGAACAGTACCCAGAGGCTGAAAATCTCCCACACTGCAGGGCCACTGATTAATCACCTGCATCTCCCCAGTGCCTATTAGGCCCCGGGCATGAGCATGTGCGTCGTTTCGCATGGATTGCCTCATTTCATCCTCAGGAGGTGCTGTTATCATCCTGTTTTATACACGAGGAACCTGAGGCACACAGAATTTCTCTCTGAGGGGCCGGAGTTAAAGAGCTTTGCTGCCATCACAAAGACAGAGAGAGGCAGAGCTGGGATCTGAGCCCAGGTCGGCGGCCGGGCCTGAGCGTTTGCTTTAGAGTATTTCCCTCTGTTTTTGCTGTGTAGAGTTCAACTTCCCCAAGTTAAACATTCATCTGACACGATTCTACTCCACGTCAACGACTCCTATTGTCTCGCAGTCTTAGGGGGACCCCCATCTCCTTCAAAAGGCCCTGAACTCCCTTTGGTCTGAGAACTAGCTTAGATCTGTGCGCAGCTGGAGCTCAGTCAACGTTTGGGGAAGGAAAGAAGAAATAAAGAAGAAGGGAGGGAGAGAGGGGAAAGGAGAAGAAAACAGAACGACATCTGTGAAAGGGACGTCACCGTCTGCAGCCTCTTCCTCTCCGCCTCCATCGACGAGTGAACTGCTTCGATCTCCACGGTGTGCTTCTTCACCGCGTCATCCAGTCGCTTCAGCAGCTGGTCTTTGAGGTGTTTCTTCTCCTCCTCCGTCCGGTGTTTGATTTGACGAAGGTCTTCTTCATATTGTTGCTTTATGTACTCCATCTCCACACTCGCCTCTTTCTTGGTCTGCGAAAAGGAAAAGGGCTTTGTAAACCTGCCAGGGTGGGGTGAGGAGCCGGGGGCTATGGTTTCTCTTTTGTGCACCTTTTACAACGTTTGCATACTGATTTCACAGCCTCTTTCACAAGGTGCAGTATAGTCATAAGACTACATATTCGATGTTTATAAGAGACTTCACTTTATCCACCATTGGAAAAAGGCTCTTCGGAATAGTGTGTCTGTTGTCATAGGATCGGATCTTTAGGCCCATACTACAGTGGAGTCCAAAGAATGTTTTCTTTGTTTGGGCTGTGAACATATAGTGGGAATTCAAAGCCAGTTTCCAGTTTCCCGGGAGCTGACGATAAGAAAGCGGGGGAATTCTGCTACGTTCTCAGTCTCCTAGTTGGCAGAAAGTCGGCTGGACTATCACACCCAAACATGCACCCCCGGAACCACGGGATCTGTCATCGTTGGGGATTGGCCTCTCTACCTGAAGCTCATTCCAGCTAAGCCTCCTGTGACTTCTCCGTCCCCAGGGCTGGGCCAAATACTACCTGTGCATCTGTGCCTCCATTCATGCCTGGACTCTCCTTGGGGAAGTTCTGATCCTGCTGAGGATGGAGACTCTGGGTTTCCGAGTCACTTGCTTTCTCTAGGACTTCATTCTCTGAAACTCGCTCTGTCTTCACGTCACCTGCAAGCATAGGTTTCGGCATCGTCTGGAACGCCTCCAAGCCCTTCGGCAGGTGGGTCCCCATTCTGCTATTCAAAGATTTTGCCCACCACTCCCCTATGTAATCCCTGCTCTGTGGCCTCCTGGCCCTTGAACATCGCCAAAGTGGGGACTGTCATCTTTGCCCAAGCAGCATCCCGAGTTCAAATAGTGGCCCAGCTCTTCCTTCGTAAACTGGTCATCTTCAAACCGTTTTGATTGTGTTTTCCACAGGTTAAAAAAAAAATCGAGCACGTTCCTGGATATAGGTACATCCAAAGAATTTAAATTTAAAGGAATTTAAAGGATAAAGCAACAATTAAATATAACTAAAATTGCTGATTTTTCATTCTCGTATTCCCCAAGGTATTCATTCCCTACTGCGAGACCTCTGCTCTAAACCTCCCACCCACTTCCGGTTCCGACTGGAACCTCTCCGCCTCCCCTTCGAGCCCTCGGTACTCTCTTCTTTCCCGGACACGTCGTCCTGCTGCTGCGCCCTGGGCTGTGCACCTGACACCCAGCATGCTGCGGGCCGTAACCTCACTGTCCCATAAGCTCCTTGGAGAGAGACCTCATGCTTCGTGCCTCTCCCAGTGCCACGCGGGTCACGCTGCAGGTATTCCAGAACTTTGTGACGAGGGAGCACAGTGGAAGGCACTTTGAAGTCAGACGAACACCAGCTCTATCGCCAGCTGGTTAGCTGGCCTTCAGCTAGCCCTTTACCCCTTCTCAGCCTCATTTCTTCATCTGTAACGTGAGATACCGAAAACACCTACCTCACAAAATTAGTGGGAAGACCCAATAACACCACCGTGTGAAATGTTGTTAAAAATACAAGGTGTTGTCTAAGTATAGGGGGGAAGCCAGTGACGAGAAGTTCAGGCTCTGTGGTGGGCCAGATGGGGACTATGTGTGGCAAAGCTTCCTTTTGCGTCATGCCTTCTACACGCCGTGTCCTAAATGGACTGAACTCACCCATCACGCGGGGCAGAGGAAACAACCCTGCCCCTCCACTCTGCTCCCTCGACGGTTCCAACGCTGCCAGCAGCGCCGGGCCAAGCGGGAAGGAAGCCGGTCCAGGGCAGCTCACCTGGTTTCTGTGTGCCGTGGCTCCCCTGCAGCATCAGTCTGTCTTTGGCGACGGCCAGCTTCTCCCCAAGTTTTTTCGCAGTGCTTTTCAACTCCAAATTCTCCTGTCGAGCCTCCTTGAGCTGCACATCCAGGTCCTAAACAGACAGAAGGGGTCTCATGTCTCTGGTTGTAATTCTGTATAGAGACATCCTTTGTACACAGAACCGACATCAGGTCTGAAAGGTGAGGAGTGCACAGCACAGGCCCTTAGCCTCTGGAATTCAGTGGCTCAGGGGTCGCCTAATCCCTACTCATCCTCTGATTGGCTGTGTGACCTTGGGTGAGTTATTTAACCTTTCCGTAGTGAGAATCAAGTGAGATAAAGTGTCTGAGGCAGAAAAACCGCTCAGGGAGTATAAGGAATATTAGCTGCTGCTACTTTTAGAGATGGCTCTGGGAAGTTGTGGGGCTCACCTAACTGACTTGTCAATGGTCTGGCTCAGTGCAAACACAGAGTCCCAAGGATTTTAGGAACACAATTTATTATAGAATTAGCAGGGGCTTTAGAATTAGGCCGAGTTCGAAAACTTATTAGCCATATGCCCAGCGAGGTCAGTCCTTAAGCCTCGCAGTTTCAGTCCTGTCTTCTGATTTGTAAACTGGAAGTCTCTAAGCTCTCTGAGGTCAGGGACCGGGTCCAGCTCACCATGTGCCTCCTGCCCATAGCCCCGGCCTGGCACATAGTAGGTGTTCAATAAATACTTGCTGAATGAATGTGGTTGAACTCAATGGAGATAATAATGCTCACTTTGGTAGAAGTCGAGTGCTTGGCACAGTGCCCAACACATAGTAGGTGTTCAAAATTAGAGGCCATGATTATTGTCGCATTTGAACGGCAGGAAGAGATTTCGCTTTACCTGAATCCTCTCCTTAAGCTTCTGGGCGTACTTCTTCAGGTCACTTATCTTGCGGCCCCTGTGCTCCAGATCCCCTTCCAGCTTCCTGACCTGGGCCTGCAGGGCCGACTCCTGGACCTGGAAGTTCTTGCGGAGGTCGGTCTCCTTCTCTTGCCACTGCCACAGGGCCTCGCTCACTGACTGCTGCATGGCCTGCCGGATGGCCTCGTTCTCCCGCTCGTAGGTGGCCTGCAGCTCCTCAGCCTTCCGGGCATAGTCCTTGCTCAGCTGCTGGTTCTCCACGCGCAGCCGCTCCACCTCCAGCAGGACCTCCCGCATCTCGGGGCCAGAGCCCGGCTCTGCCTTGGGGTCGGGGCTCTCCTGGGACAGCGAGCCCCACCGCGGCGCCTCGTGGCTCATCAGGTGCTGGAGCCTCTTCTCGTAGTCAGCCTTGAGCTCCAGCATCTCCTTGGACAGGGTGAGGACCCGCTCGGCGTGCTCCGCCTCCACTCTCAGCTCCCTCTCTTTGGTCTCCAGCCTGCACGTGGCCGAGTGGGCCAGCGCCTCCTGCGTCAGCCTCTTCTGCAGCTCCAGCGCGCTCTCCAGGGCCTGAATGCGCTGCAGCAGGGCCTCCTCGTCGGCGTGGCCCTGTTCCTGCAGGAGCCTGGCCTCGGTCTCCGCCACCGCGGTCTGGAGCGCCTCCTGGTGGGCTTCGCGCAGCGCCTCCATGCTGGCCTTCGCCTCATCCTGGCGTGTGTTCAGGGCATAGATCACCTGCAGGAAAAGCCACAGAGCCCAGTTAGTGAGAGGTGTGAGTGAGGGACGACGTGACCGGAGATGCTTCTATTCGCTGGTGGCGACGAAGGCTGATCCCCACGAGCAGCGCCTAGAAGAGGCTTTGTGTGGAAGTGATTTATTAGAAACTGTCCCCGGGAAGAACCAGTAAGGGAACGGGGAAGTGAGACAGGGTGGAAACAAAGCAAAGGGGTGATGTCGCATAAAGGCCCACAGAGGGTATCTATGGCAGAGGTCTGTCTGCAGGAGACGTCGGGAGTGCATGGGCATCCCGCAAAGGGTTTAAAACTCTAACATGTTTTTGTTTTTTAAAACACCTTGGGATGCAAAACACTAGAAAATCGAATTCCCACCATGACCAAGTGGGAATGCAAAGTCGATTTAACATCTGAAAATCAGTCAGTGTAATAAACTACACGACTTGAATAAAAGACGATAGAATAGAAAAAAGAAAAAAAAAGCCACGTGATTATCTAAACAAACACAGGAAAAGCATTTGACAAACTCTAACATCACTTCATGATAAAAGCATTCACCGCATTAGAAATAGAAGGGAACTTCCTCAGTCTAAAAAAGGGCAACTTGAAAAACCCATGGCTAACATCGTACTCCAAGACTGACTATTGTCCTTAACCCCAGGAACAAGACGGGGACCCAGTGACTGCATGGAGAAGAGAAGGCAGGCAGGCATGGCCATGGCGGAGCCCACACACAGTAGGTACCCATCGCACAGGAGGTGCCCATTCATACACAGCGGGTACTCATTCACAGTAGTTACTCATCAAATGTAGCTTCCTTCTCACTTCTCACCTTATCCCCTTAAAAGGAAACATCCCTTGTTTTTGGAGCCACGATCTACCCAACCCCTCTCCACTGCCTTCAACATCTGAAACTGTTGATCAGATTTTGAGCAGACCCACGCTTCTCTTGGGCTTCACCTGGCAACACTTCTGCCACTTGCTTGCTTTCACTCACCACCCATTAAACTGAAACATCAGAGAAAGTGGCCTGAACCGCATTTATAAATCCACCTCCCCTGGAGGGTACCGACTTCAGAATCCATCAAGGGACATGAATAATTCAGCAGCCAAGAGAAATACTGAGCAAGTTGGTAAGTCTTCCCAAGGGTTTTAGAAATCCATTGCTAATGGTTTGATTTCAGAGAAAATTTCAGTTGAGAGCCCGTTAGGGTCTTAGGGGTTGAATATTGTAGGTTTAACAAAGCTATAATTAATGGATTCTGAGCATCAGATACAGAGGCAGCTTTCCATCAAGTCTGGCAGCAGGAGTCAGAAGTGAAATGAAAAAGATTTGCTGAGTGCCCAGTCTAACTTTCAGTGAGCCAGGTAATATACGTGTTATTCTGCATTCGGCCTTCTAACAGCTCTGCAAAGTGGACATTCCCATGCGTATCCCAATTTTATAGAGGAGGAAACTGACATTGAATCAGGCTAACTTAACACTTGGGGGTGGTACAGCATGGCGCCTAAATTGAGGCTTTAGATCCTACTGTAACTCTACCTCTTTCTAGCTGTGTGACCGTGAGTACGTTAATGAACCTCTCTGGTTCTGTCATCTCATCTATGACACAGGGAGAGCAATGCCTACTTCATAGATTTGTTTTGAGATTAAAATGACATAATGAACCTAAAACCCTTAGTAATGTTCCTAGCATAGAATAAACACTCAAGAAATGCTCTGTTAGTATTTTTACTATTATTGATATTATCAAAATAATACTAAAAAAAAACCAATAAAATAAATTAACCAATGTTAAAAATAATGCTAAAAAGTGAGGAATGGGTCCCAAACAAGGCTGGACTCCTGCTAACAAATGGGCTTGGAATGGATTTCTAGATGGAGTTCAAAACGCTAATTAAAATCTCACTATTATCCATCAGAGAGCTGTTGCTAGGCGCCTCACTGCACATGGCATTGAACTGTGAGGTATAAGCTTCTGGGTAATTGAAGCCCAACTGTCTCCCAGACCAATTTAGATTGAGACTTAGCTGGAAGGTAAGGGCAGTCTCTCCAGAAGGCTCTTAATTAGAGCCCCTCCTCTTACTGGTCCAGGCCAATGCTCACAGACACAGACCTGCCTGCCTTCTAGGGCGTTTGCCCAGCTACATAAGATGTTGAACCTGGAAAGGGTCCATCTTGTCTTTCAAATCTCAAATGACTTATTTACAGCTTTTTGAAAAGCAAAGACCAGCGATAGCTCCCTTGGTTAGCCAACCTGGTCAGTTCAGGGCATAGATCACCTGCAGGAAAAGCCACAGTGTTAGTGATACTTCAGTGAATAAAATCAGTACAAAGAAATCATAACCTCTCTCACAGGAAATATTTTATAGAGAAGTAATCCACGTAGGAACACCAAAACCTGTAACCATGCATACAAACAAAATTGTGTGAACTCAAAAGCGGAAATAGCCGCTCTTCAAATTTACCTGTTTAGATTAGATTATTTTATAAATTTAAATTTTGAAAAGCAGGTTTCGTGTGCATATCTATATAGACATGCACATCCATTTGTTCCACATAAATGATATAACAATGAGTGCTAATGTTATTTTTACTTAGCGCTTTCCAATTCACAAAGCAGCTTTACAAGATAAACCCCAACAGCACAAAAGATAAATATATTGAATGCCCATTCTAAATGAAGTTTTATTTTCTCCACTGTTCTCTGGGGGGAAAATCTCCTTAAACCTTTTCCAATCCATTTATCGTACCTTCTGAATAATCCTCAGATAAGCAGTATGTTTCCAGCTAAATATTCTTGTCCAAACAATACATTAACAACTCAAAGATCCATTCATGATCACCTTTGCAAATTGTCTTTGCAGCCATGGATGAATTTCTGTGCTCCGGCTGTACGTGGCCTCAAGTACAGCAACAGGAAGTTCTAGTCTCAGTTTATGAGTTATGAGTAGATGTTGCTCATCTAATTTCTATACCAGCAGTGGAAAGGCTGCACTAGGTCAAGTTCATGGGCCAGACAATCTTTTGTCTCTGACTCATGTTACCAGGGGCCTTTGTGGGGGTACAGAGCCCATGTCGGCTCACCATGTCAGAGACCTCAAAGAGTCAGGAGTAGATTATTTAAGTTAAAATAAAAAGGATATAAAATTGAAGATGCAGCATGGTTCCAATTTTGTTTTAAAATCATACACACATATCAACATAGAAGAAGGTCAAGAACATACCAAAACATGACCAGGGTTATCTCTGGTTGGTAAAAAATGAAGGGTGATCAATTTTCCTCTTTTCTTTCTTTTCTTTTCTTTTCTTTCTTTCTTTCTTTTTTTTTTTTGCTTTTGTGCATTCCACAATTTTTTCGATAGTAAGTATATACTTCAATTATAATCAGAAAAAAAAATCTAGGTTTTTTTTTTTAAGGGTTTGGATATACCATTAAACTATTCTGCATCAGTTAATCCAGAAGTATTTAAGCCTGAGACACAAACCCTGGAAGGAAAACAGATTCTGACAAGGAAAGATCAAGTCCTGAGGCCTCCTCCAAGGGATCTGACTTTGGCTGTGTTGCCTCCAACTGGCTGGTGAGAAACAGAAGTTGGTCTATTACGGTCTGAACAGCCCAATGAAGAATGTGTTATCTTTTCCATCAAAGACCTTGATTCTAGGGGTTCCAGTTAGAATGGTGGAGTAGGTAAACGCTGTTCTTGCCTCCTCTCATGACCACATGAAAATTACGACGAAACTATAGAACAGCCATAATAGGTAATTTCCTGAAGTCTAGCTGAAGTTCTGTAACTGGGGACACACAGAAAAGGCCAGCTTGAGACTGGTAGGAGGGGTGAAGATGTGGAATGGGCTGGTCCCACACCTGCGTGTGGCGGTTGAAGACTGGGAGAAATATCTTGGCTTCCGCGGTCCCCCCAAAACAGTGAGGGATCCAGGATCCACACCAGGCTCTCCAGCTCAGGGTTCCAATGCTAGGGAGAAAAGTCACAATTTCTGGCTGTGAAAACCAGCATAAATTGTCGCTGAGACAGAGGGCTGCGGGAATTACAGACATTCCTCTTAAGAGGCCTGCGAGAAGACTTATCCACTGACAGACTCACTTCTGGGACAGCAGTTTGAAAGGCACTGGGGACACACGGGGAGGAACTGAGTTGTCTGGCTTCAGAGTGAGGGCTGGAGGAGCAGCTTTCTCCCAGATAGAAGTGTTGGAAGAGGCCATTGTTTCTTGGTTGAGCCCTTCCCCACCCAGCATGCAGACTCAAGTAGCCGCCATATCTGAGTCTCCATCAATGTAGCTAACATTGGTTGCCCTGCCCAGGTAACTCCCTGAGACCCCACCCATCCCAATGGGCAGACCCACCTAAGCCGTTTCCAGTGGCTTTTCCATACAAACGGCCTGTCTTGGCTCATACTGCGGACTTTCCTAAAATCTCTCAAAGGGTCACAAACCCCAAACAAGCAGCATCTGGCCTCAGCTAGCCCTGTGCCTCTTGCCAAGCAGCCCCAAGCCCAGCACTAGCAGCAGCTGGCCTTGGTTCATGGCTTGGCCTCTCAAGGCACATCCAAGCCTAGGGTGGGTGGTGGCTATCTGCAGAATTCTTGGTAGCTCATGCCAAGTGGCCCCAGGCAGGTCACAGGCTGCAGCTGAACTTGGCCTGTGGCAGGAGGCCCCGGCCTGCACACCTGGTGGTTGGATTTGGTCTGAACCTAAGCAGCACCCAGGGCCACATCTGAGGATGACACACACAAAGGGCAGAACTAGGCAGGCACTAAAGCCCTGTTAAAGTGAATCCTGCTCCATAGGTTCAGCCCCTCACTGGCCAATCCTCACAACTAATCAGCCTGAGGGTTAATCCCTCCCAACGACATGCAAAGAGCAAATGAGGCTCATTTACAACAGGAGGGCACACACAACCCATACAAGAGACACACCTGGAGCACCTGGCTCAGGTGACTATGGAGCCTACACCCCTGGGCCCCACAGGATACTACTA